CACATCTACTGAACGAGGCACCATCTCAGCCACCACAGAGCCACCGGTCTGGATCGGGTACAGAACCTGAGGGGGGTTATCGTTCTGATCCTGGATATTTAATTTAACAGTAACGTTGCTGCTTAAGGGTGGCGAGCCTCCATCCTGTCCTCTTAAATTGATGTGTATATTTTTAATTTGCTCAAAGTCAAATGATCGAACTGCTTGTATCACACCACTCTCTGCATTTACAGATATGTAAGAGGAAATTGGGCTGCCGTTCATGTCAGCGTCAATAAGTAGATATGAAACGCGTGCATTTTGCCCGGAATCTGCGTCATGCGCACTTACAGAAAACACAGATAAACCAGGGTTATTATTCTCCATGATATGAGCTTCATAAACACTCCTTTCAAAAACTGGAGCGTTATCATTCACGTCTGATATTTTCAGATTTATTGTTTTGTTTGTGGAGAGGGATGGACTGCCTTCATCCACAGCCGTGATAGTAATATTATATTCGGGGTGACGCTCCCGGTCCAGGACACCATTTGTTACCAGAGTGTAATAGTTTTTCAGAGAAGACTGGATTGTGAATGGTATATTAGCGTTAACAGAACAGTCAAGTTTTCCATTTTTACCCGAATCTAAATCTTTTACATTTATGATCGCTATAGTTGTTCCTWTGGGGGAATCCTCTGCTACAGCATTAGAAAACGAGGTCAGTGTTATTAAAGGCGCGTTGTCATTTATATCTATGACKTCAATTATTACATTTGTCGACGTGCTTTGTCCACCTTGATCTTTTGCCAGCACGCCTATTTCATATATTTTGTGTTCTTCATAATCAATCAAACCGTTCACAGTTAAGTCGCCGCTATTTTCATCCAAATTGAAAAGCTTTGCAGCTTCACTGGACATGCGATTAAAGTGATACGTCACGCGTCCGTTCATCCCTTCATCCGCATCTGACGCGCTCAAGCTCACCACTAACACTCCTTTTGGAACGTTTTCTTTCACAAGGGCCTTAAAAATCGGTTGCGTAAAAACGGGGGCGTTGTCGTTCGTGTCCCTGACGGTGACGTGTACTTTTAGAATCCCCGATCGCTGCGGTTCACCCCCGTCCACAGCAGTGAGCGTGAGGAGCAGCTTCTCCTCTTTCTCTCTGTCTAAAGCGCCAGACAGAAACAGCTGCGCGTATTTATGACCATTCGGGCTGGACAGAACCTTAATGTTAAACTGCGTGGTTGGATGTAAGGTATACCCGCGCAAAGCATTGATGCCGACGTCTAAATCTGTTGCGCTCACCTGCAGTATTTCTGTTCCTGGAAGAGCTGATTCRAYAACTTCTATGTGCATTTCTTTCTCGTGAAAAAAGGGCGCGTTATCATTAACATCAAGGACTTCCACTACAACGCTGTGCAGATGCATTGGGTTGCTCATAATCACCTCAAAATTCAAGCTGCAGGGCGACGTCTGCCCGCAGAGCTGCTCCCTGTCTATTCTCTCTCCCACCACCAGGATCCCTTTGTCTAAATCCAACCTGATATACTCGCTGCTGTCGCCACTAACGATACGTGCACCGCCTGCTTTCAATCTTTTGGAGTTGACACCCAGGTCCTCAGCTATATTTCCCACAAAGGAGCTCTTTCTCATTTCCTCCGGGACAGAGTAGCGGATCTGAGAATGCGTGGCCTCGATAAGAAAAGCAAGAATACAGGCCTGTACTTGCCATACCGTGCGCTTCCTGCCGTTGTATGACATATTACCGAAACAATCAGTCCATTTGAAGAAAAAAAAAAAATCCGAACACCGTTCAAATGTTATTCAAGGCTTCCCCTTGTTGATGTGTAAATAATCCTCCGCGCTACAACAAATAGATCCGTGCGGAAATCACAGATGGAAAGAAAGAGCGAACGTCCTGCCATCCGTGGTACAAAGACAGGAGAAAAGGAGGTGTAGTTACATTTTATAAGCAGTATATTTGCTGTAAAGACCAACAGCGGCCCTTAGAGGAAGTTATTGGGAGAAAAAAAAACGGTAAATTTATAAGAGCAGTGTTTTTACACCTAATAATCAGACTCTTACCAGGATRAATAAAAATAAGTTTAAAACTGTTTCTTATTTAGCTTTAAGGTTGTAAAAGAAAATAAAGTAATGTGTAAAAATCTCTAGAAACAGATAAAAAACTAATAAACAATGACATCATCTTTTACTTTTATTACAATGTCTGTGAACTTAATGCACTTGTAAAAATGCAGATTAGAACACCAGACAAACAAACATACAAACAAATAAATAAATCAATATATTAGTTATTTTCCATATAAAAT